CTATAGTAATTTATATATAGAACCGCGTCACGTTTCACTATGATCATTCTTCAGTTAACTGGAGAATCGTCAATTAATATTAAAAGCTGCAATACCAGTTAAAGCAAGAACTATTATTGGAGATTTAGATTTAATTCTTGCTATTTCATAAAGTCTACTTCTGATTGCCTTAATAAGATAGGATTTTCTAGTACTCACAGTCTCTATGATGATAATTCTTAGTGGCTTCTCTTGACAACCTATAAGTATATTATAATAATGAGATTCTAATCATTTAAAAACTATCTTTTGTTTTCATTTAAACTTTGGTAGTTGATAACATTCGTAGCTAAAGCTTTATTTTCTTCAATTTCGATGCTATTTTGACTACAACTAGATACTCTTTGAATGAAGGAGCTTGTTTCTGCAAGGTCAGTAGTAAAATAATATTGTCTAATATCACTAATTCAGTCATGATTTCTATTAATGTCTCTAGATCCAAGATCAGAAGAACAATCAATAGTTGAATAGAGATTCATCTCTGCAAGAAGTATCTAGTTAAATCAGTATTCATCTTGTTTTTTTTTATCAAATTGATCTTCTTGACTTTTATCATTTGTAATCTCATTTTTTGATCTACAGATGGTCCAAGTAAATCCATTAAATTAGCATTAATTTCATCAAGATTGCGATAATATAAAGTTGATCACGAAACAGTACTATCTTGAGTTAGCAGCTGAATATCTTAATGATGAATATGAAGCAAAACTTTTATATAACAGAACTCTCTCTATTCTGGGCTTTCTCGTGATGATGGCTATAACCAGATGTATATAATGTTTTTCTGTTTGTACCTCCTCTATTGATTTTAATAAATTTATATATTAAGTTTAATTTATATCAAGAAAATTCTTCAAACTTAGAAGGTTGATCCTAATATGTTTTCAAAATAGGTCATGTAGTTTATCTAGCATTTTTAACTTCATAACTTTCGTTTTTTTTAACACCTGTATCATAAAGCCATTGTGGCACTTCTTTATTAAGATTTAATGAAATAAATATGCAGCTTGAATAATAAAGTAGAATTCTGAGAAGAAGATGACATGTCTCTTGAGTGAATATGTCTTGTTCTGCGATACTGTGAAGTAATAACTTTTGAACTGAAGCAAGTAATTGATCATTAGGCTTGCTATTATGAAGTATTTGATCTAATAGATCTAAAAATGCTACTGATCGTGATTCTGCCTTACTAGTATATTTAGAAATATATTGTAGAGCTGCATGAATACTAAAGATAGGTTTGAGATCAACATTAATTCTCTATTCTTGTAAATGAAGTCGGTTATGTGGATTAATATACAGATTATTTCTTGCTGTTACAAGTTTAGGATGATTGTGTCTGTCTTTATGCAAGAAGATATAATTACTTTCCTCTTTAGGGTATCTGGATCTACAAAATTGCTATCCTATATATTTAGTATGAAAACAATATGAAGGGCTACAACGTATATGCCATTGCAACTTATTAACTAATTCAATATAATCTTGTAAATCGTCATTTAATTCTTCATTACGCTTTTGGCATAGATGATATTCAGAAATTGGAGAATTGAGCCTCAGATTAATCGTGATAATTAAGGTATTAACATACTTTACTATGTCCCTTAATAAGTTTTTATCATCTTTTATTTATTCTTATTCAATTTCAGATACATTTTTTATTTTTCCAATTCCATATATATGGACGCTACCACAATGTTGCTATTCAAATCTATATCACTAGTCTTCCAAATTTCACTTTTTTTTCAACATGTTCTGAAAAAAAATTTCAAAATGTTTACTAAAAAAATTAAGTAGTAATATGTGGGTTGTCAATAATATTTTGACAACAATTTTTGCTAGATGGTATAAGTTTATGAAGCTCAAGCTAATGTAGATTAGTGGTATTTAGTATAAAAAATATTAGCCCTTGTGAAACTAACTGTTTAATTATATCTCTCAGCTCATAATATCTTGTATTCCAGAACTGTCTTGAACCACATATACCTAGACCAAATCTCATAATTTGGTTAGCCATATATGTTTCACCTTCAGCAATCATTTCTTGAATTTCTGTAACTGTAAGTTGATTGTCATTAAAGTTTTGTTTAATATATACTCTCCCTTCTTGTAGTGCTCTCCATCTCATCTGAGAATTAAGTGCAAAATACTGCTAACGGGTATGACGAGTGAATTTTTCATTTTTGTATTGTAATAAATACTTAAAGTATTCAGCTGGATTGATATTTTTAATATGTTCTGCATAAAGGTCACCACTTCCATTTGGGTAAAGAGTTGGAAATGTGCACACAATATGGTCTATTGTTTGAAATTCATTAATAAAATTATTATTAATATGCAGCCACAATACAGTATCATTATTAGTCAGTATACGATTGAGTGTATTGTTTATAGCAACATCTTCTTGGTTATTTGAAGCCAAAAAAGGCACAAAGGTATGAGTAATTATATTATCAACATCATCATCATTATTTTTATCTGTAATTTGATTATTTTGAAGCTAATTATCAACAAAACCATCTTCAGGCAAGGATTGGAGAAGTTCATTGTCTATAATTATTTTAGAATAATAACGATTATTTGCCTTTAACCAAAATAATGCGTAAGTAATCTTGTCTCTTTAAACTTTAAAATCTCTAATACTGTTGTGTCTTTTTCAGATTGCCAACGTATGATAAGCATATTCAATAAGAATAGATTCCGAGGAAGGTAAGTAACAAATTCTTCTATGTTTTGAGGAAAGTTGATAATATTTCCACTGTATTTGTGTTGTCCTCCATGAAGCCTATAAACTACTATTATAGAGAAGACCTGTACAATTAACATCTCTTCAATTTCTGTAAGCCCTTGGAGTTCTTCAGGTACATTATCTGAATCCATATTATTTTCAGTTGAAAATTTTTTTGGTAAAGTTTTCTCAGTATAATAACAACAACATTCTTTTATAACAAGCATTATAAATGGAAAGCATTCATTGCATATAGAACACAATGTGTATTTTAGTTTCTCTATTTTATTACGAAATCATCACAAAAGAATTTTATCGAATTCATTAAGAACCACAAGAAGTAGATTATCAAATTCATCATACCTATCTAATTTATTTACATATACATCTATTTCTGACTCAACAATTTGGCATTTTCTGTTATTATTATCTGTAAAGTTTGCTTCAATTTTACGCAACACCTTTTCTGATCTTTTTTGCCATCTTTTTTCCCATTCATATGCAAAACACATCTTATATTGGTCAGCTATTTCATTTTTTCTGCTTTTTCATTTTCTGAAAGTATCTTGTAAAACTGAACCTTTACCAGATTGGTTTTCTTTAATTTTAATTTTTTCTATTG